CTTGAACGTAGTTCAGGGCTTGATCCACAGTAGCAAGCATCTAATGTTTGCTTTTACCTTGGTGGTCAATTTTGTATAAGAAAAAAAAAGTTACCTCTTAATCCATTAAGCTAATTCACTTCTGCTCTGAGGCAGTGGAGAGCAATAAACATCAGCATTTTGTTGTTCTGCGTTCTTTTTATCTTGGTGTTCCAGAATAAGTTTTCTAAAAGTCATCAACATGGGGTTTTTCTTCTGTTTTCTGGGGGTTTTTTAGGTAGGCGTGAAAGTAGGTGTTCGTACAAGAGGATGCAATGGACTTTCTTACACACTAGAATACACAAAATCGAAAGGAGACTCTGATGAAGAAGTAGTTCAAGACGGTGAGTTTCTGATGCAGCAGGGGAAACTTCTGTGTTGGGGGGGAAGAAGAGCCTGTTTGAGGTTTGCCAAAGTACAGGTTAGAATGTACTCAGTGTAATGAGTTATAGCAAGAGGTCCTATGGCTCTGTTGTGGGAATTGTCACTTTCATCTCTGTTTTGAAGTAACCAGTTAGTTAAAATCTTCAGCTTTGCAGTCTCTGTATCAGTAGACTAGTCCGGTCATTCGTGTCTTTGGAGGTGGCTAATAGCACATACTTAGAGAAAAATACGCAACAAGGCATATATAACAGAATACTCCATCAGCATACCTAAACAAAGGCATGGCATTTACCCAATTATCTTCTCTAACTAGGCTTATTCTTTACTGATCAGTAGTTTGTTTGTAACTTCTTTACACTTTTGACCTTTACATTGCTTTAACAATGGTTTCTATTGTTTTAATCTAAGGCTATTTTTAAAATTTTATTCATATACTGGTATTTAAGCTTTCTGCCTGATAATTTAATTAAGCATTCCATGGTGGGTCTGATGTGGCTTGCTTACTCACCCCTGGTGGGATGGGTGGGAGATCAGAAGAGTAAAAGTGAGAAAACTCATGGGTTGAGATAAAGACAGTTTAGTAGATAAAGCAAAAGCCACACACACAAGCAAAGCAACACCAGGAATTCATTCACCGGTTCTGGTCGGCAGGCAAGTGTTCAGCCGTCTCCAGGAAGTCAGGGCTCCATCACATGTCATGGTTACTTGGGAAGACAAACACCATCACTCTGAATGTCCCTCCCTTCCTCCTTCTCCCCCTGAGCTTTATATGCCGAGCATGACATCATATGATACTTGGTCAGCTGGGGTCAGCTGTCCCAGCTGTGTCCCCTCCCAGCTTCTTGTGCACCCCCAGTGTCCTCGTTGTTGGGCTGGTGTGAGGGGCAGAAAAGGCCTTGACTCTGTGTCAGCACTGCTCAGCAGGGACTGAGACATTCCTGTGTTATCAGCGCTGTTTACAGCACAAATCCAAAACACAGCCCCATACCAGGTACTGGGAAGAATATATCCCAGCCAAATCCAGCATGTTTCTATAAATTTTCCAATTTTTATAAAAATTTCTGTCAGTGTTGTTTTTCTCAAATACGGATGCTTACAGAAGCATAATAGTCTTTGTAAATTCCTTCTGTGGGGTGGTTTAAGAGTGGTTTTAGGCATTATTGATCTCTGCTGTATTATGTTCAGGAATGTTACTTTTCATTTGGTGGCAAAGTAAGAGATTTGAGTGTAAGTGGGACATCACCATAATTTTCTTACAGAAATTATGCTGCCCAGCAAAGCCCATCTTCCAGCCATCTTCAGAATCACTGTGACCAACACATAAATTTTATTCTCTGAAACAGAGAATTAGTTAGAACTTTAGCAAGTTATTAAAGTGAACCAGAGTATGTGAGAGAGAGATGGCTACCTAATTCTGTAGGTGCCCCTTGATTTGAAATTCACCACTCCTGCTTGACTTAGAGCTGCCCTAGCTTTACAGGGCAGAAGACACACTTTTCAGAAGATCTTTCCTGGTTTGGATCTTAAGGAAGATAAAAGCAGTGTCCCTCAGTCAGGTTGGAGACCTTAAGTTCCAAAGCCAGACAGTGTTTGAGGTGTGCCTGTGCGCTTTCTGTTTTGGTTGTTTCTAAACAGATTTCCAGTGAAGACTCTGACTTCTGTAACGCTCTGCTCAGCGAGCTGTTTGCTTTGGATCCCAGCACAGGTTTTCTGGCTTTTAAGTAGTGACTGCTTTGGGGATCAGGTGCATAAACTCCTTCATTAGGTTTAGCCTTCACTGTCAGTTGCTGTCCAAATTGAACCAAAAGATGTGTAGATTCAACTCGGTTGCCCACAGACTTGCTATGTTAGTAACATGTTTTGTTTCAACGTCTGCGTGCTGGGTCTGACTGGGATGGAGTTGATTTTCCCCGCAGTAGCCCTCAGGGCTGTGCTTTGTGGTGGTAGCTGGAAAGGTGTTGATAACACACCAGTGTTTGGCTACGGCTGAGCAGTGCTTATCAAGCATCAAGGCTGCCTCTCCATGTCCCCCTCCTTTTCCCCCAGTGAGCTGGGGGTGGGCAAGAGCTTGGGAGGGGACACAGCTGGGACAGCTGACCCAAACTGACCAAAGGGCTGTTCTGTACCATGTGATGTCAGCTCAGCAATAAAAGCTGGGAGAAGGGAGGAGGAAGGAGGGGCATTTGTTATTTATGTTTGTGTTCTGGAGCAACCACTCTGCATACTGGGGTCCTGCTTCCCATGACGTGGCTGGACGTTT